CTCTGAGCACCCTGGGATAGTGGAAGGTGTCCCTGCCCATGGCAGGGGGTTGGAACCAAATGATCTTTAAATTCCCTTCCAACCCAAATCCTTCTAGGATTCTATGGTTCTAGATTTCTATTTTTAGTAAAAATATATCCCACAAATAAAAGCCAACAGGGACCATACTTTTAATGTCCTAAAACTCCACTAGTCAATACTGAAGAAAGTGTTTTGGTGTCCTAAATGAAAGAAAAAAAGGGGTAAAGTGTAACACATTTAAACTCTGGTGTTCGCAGATGTCACAGGTAACAATGAAAAATCCAGTTGTGTCTTAAAATTATATACTTAGAGTTAATAACCTGAGTCTGAGTCTTAAAACAGTTGTTTTGATATAAGGAAAGCAACGGAGTCATATTGATCTGAATTTTTTCAGAACAAAATTAGAACTCCATCTACAAAGTGATTCAAAATTATTCCTTTGGAAAAGAAATCAAGTAGACAAAACAATAATCTTGAAACAAGGCCCCGAAAATAAGCAAATGTGGCCTGTGTGTACATATTAGTATAATTTTATGCTCCATTTCCAGCATGGATATTACAATAATATTTCACACAAATTACAGGTCAATTTTCACAGAGATGCTGCCCTAAAGGTGCATGAAATTGCATTAGGAGGGGAAACTCACATCATACTTGGCAATCACAATTAAACAGAAAAGTAATGTTTTAGTAACCTCACAGCTTTGAAAGTGATGGTGGGTTTCATGATGTAAAACTAATGTTCCACCAGAATGCACTAGCTGTAATTAAAATTGTTTGCATTGTTCCTCACCCTCTGAAACCTTCTATGAATGCTAACACCAGGCACCTGCCTTACCAGGGTTTATGCAGTTTTGTTATATTTCAATTTTCCATGCCAAAACAATTCTTCCTATGTTATTCCCCATGACCTTGTAGCTTTTTCTCATCAGTATAAAAACTTGAAGATAATTGCATTCCATTCCTTTCTTGAAGTTTGGCTGCTATAGCTGGGAAAAAAAAAAATAAAGAGAAAACCATGAAGAACAGGTCAGGCCAAATTCCCAGATTGCTGGCCCATGGAATGGACAGTCCTTCCAATGCCCAAATTCACCTGGCCAGAATCCCTGTGCTCCATATTTCTTATCCTCTGACTCCAGGACTCCAGATGGGCTTAATTAGTGAGAAACATTAGTCCCAAGGACTGAGATAGAATTAAAAGCTGATGACTTCTGGCTCAATTTCTTTGATTTTTTTAAAACCCAGAATACAGATTTCTTGGCAGCTGATCTATACACTTTTTATATTCCTTTTGTCAAGAAAATTTTCCTCCACATTTTGTTATTGTTTGGTAAGTGCCACAAAGAGCAGCTAGCACCTGATTCTTTCCCTGTGGTAGATTTATCCTTTGTCTGCTTACTATGTTCCAACTGATCTCCAAAGACCTGTTTAATTATGATCTATATAATTAGCAGGGCCAAAGAATGAAGAAGGGGAAATTTCTGGGGTTTGTGGCTCAATAGCTGATAGAATTTTTATCACACATTTTTATGTGACTCAGTTTCTCTAATAAAAATGTAATATTAAAAAAAAAATATCCTTGCATTCCTCAGTGGGCAATTTGAATGTAATTCAGCTGTGACTATAAAGAAAGAGCAATTTACTCACCTACATGGTCTCAGTGAAATGAGAGGTGTGATTTTGTTCAAAAAGAAATTGCCTGATGTAAATGGACTTCCCAGTGAATGCCACCCACACCCCTAATTCTGTGTTTCAGAAAACTACTGGCATGCAAACCACAGGAAGTCTGACTAAGAGATTTAATGTCCCCAGATAACATCCACGTGAACACAGTTAATCAGTATTTAAGTACTCTCAGCCAGAACTTGTATTTTCAGATGGCACCATCTTCCCCTTCTATCCCGGGGGTGCTACCATTACCAATTTAGAGAGCAGATAATTAATGAAATGTTTATATCAGTTTCAAGAGTGTAATTTATGCTCACCTTTATAGTCTTATCTCGACTGAAATCAATTTTTAATACACTGTGTAGGCCAGCTCTGAACTGTCATTCCAAGATTCACTGCTGTGAGATGTCGACAGAAGGGGCTCTCCTTGGAATGTGACAATCTTTCCATTGGCCTCAGACTGCTGCTTTTGCTTCCTATGAAGAAATCAACTGTAAACATTTTTCTCCAGACATGGAAAATTATATTTATCTACTAAATGCTGTGTAGATGACTGGTAAAAGAACACAAATGAAGGAATTCATGCATCAGTATTTGCAATCTTATTATTTTCCCTTCTCCATAAAAGAGGTGCATCTTCACAACTACAAAATGTGCAACAGTCAGATACAGCACTAAAAAAATATTTTATTTGCATTTTGTGTCACTGGGTTTGGAGAAATCCTTGGATTACTGAAATAAATGTCTTTTTCTTTCTCATTAAATTTATCAAAGGAGTCCCACTGTGTTTCACAATTGTTTTTATGCTCAGCGCTTTCCAAAACAATGCCTAATTCCTCTGCTCTGTAATTATAAAAGAAATGGATTTTTTGTTTGTTTCCTTACTTATTTAAAGAACACCCTATAGACTATGAGAGTTACTTCACATAATAAAAATTCCCATGCTTATAACTAAGACAAGTATAAAGCAAACCCTTCATTACAAGCCACTTAATATGGCTCACTTTGATTTTTCCTTGATCCGAGAACAGAATACAGCTTGGCAGGTCATCTATCCCTTCATCTGCACCACGGCTGAATCACATTTACCTTTTTTTTTTTTTTTAATTTTTTGACAGATGTTTACAGATGCTTTGCTTGTTACAGCTCAATTAGTGACTTACTGGCAGATTCCACAGCCTGGGAGCTTCTGTCAGACCTGCTTCTTCACACCTAATGAAGATGGCAGGAAAGTTTCTGGGCAATATTGCTGTACTAGTAGCTGAATGTCCCGAAGCACAGAAGCAGAGAACCTGCTCGTGGCTGGATCCACAGGACAGCCTGAAATCACTTTTCTTTGTATGGATCTGCATTTCTCCCACAGCAGAAGTTGCTGTTTCTCCTCCGCGGGGCTCTAAAATGGGAATTTGGACCTCGTAACAAGGGTTGAGTTGTTCATGCTGATGGATAAATAAGAGAACTCTTCAATCTGACTTGTGACACATTTAAAGAAGTGAGGCCTGTTACCTGTTTACTCTGATCATGGTCTCTGGATCAATAGTGTATTATTGGTTTTTCTTATTTGCCCAGAGAAGCTGTGGCTGCCCCATCCCTGGAGAGGTTCAAGGCCAGGTTGGATGGGGCTTGCAGCAACATGTATTAATGGAGCAGAAATGAGATAATCTTAAAGTTCTCTTCCAACCCAGGCCATTCTGTCATTCTGTGTTTCACTTCTCATTAAGGCTTTTTTTAAAATGCATATCTTCATTAGTATTCCTGAATTTTTTTTTTCTCAGATTAACAACCTTCTTTTTTATTTTTATTTTAATTTTCCTCACCTTTTTATTTATACATATATGTATATTTTAATATTTATGTGGATAATTTTCTCAGATTTTCAAAGACACTGATACAGATTTCTAGCAAACAAAGCATGCCACCATATCTGGAAAAAGAATCATAGGCTTGAATCATCTAAAATCAAGGGCTGGTTTAAGTAAACTGGGGGAAACACAGACTTGAAAATGAGGCTTCCTGGAACCATTAAATGGTTTGGGTTGGAAGGGACCTTAGAGATCACCTAACTCCAGCTGCATGTAGAAATTACCTGATGATTCCTTCCTATTAGTGGTTGCTAGAAGTTTAGAACCATAGAGTCATAGAATAACTCCTGTACTGCACAGGACGAACCCAAGAATCTCACCATGTGTGAGAGAGAACCTTGTCCAAATACTTCTTGAACTCTCTTGGGTTGGTGCTGTGACCACCGCCTTGGGGTTCCTGTTCCAGTGCCCAACCACCCTCTGGGTGAAGAACCTTTCCTGATATCTACTCTAAAGCTGCCCTGATCCAGTTTCATGCTAGTTAGGGTGTGTCTCAGCTTGCAAAATATGCTGAAATGAAGCCACAGCCCCACCTGAAGCATTCTTTGTAGGGTAACTGAAAAGATTTTATTGTTCAGTGTTCAGCCACCAGCAGTTCCCCTGCATGCTAATTTCCTGTTCTGCACCAAACCTGTGGCTCACATTGGCACTGATTTCACAATCTGAACTGCATTGCACTATAGGAATGCTGTGCTTGACAAATGAACTTAAACTTCACAACGATGCTATTTTGTGCCTGGCCAGAGCAGTAGGTATTGAAAATCTGTCTGCTGTGATTTGTTTCAGGAGATATCCTGCCCGGTATTCCAAAACCTGCACTGTGACTTTTATTGCAGCATTTCTCCAGGTATTTATATCCCTTCAGACAGGCAGCTTGCTCCTCATGCAATGTAAGGTCATTACATGAATGTTCTACTCTGTACTCACCATGAGTGTGTAGGTGTGCCAGTGCTACCAGCAGGTGTAACCCCCTTACTCACTCTGTATGAGCTGAGCTTTATTATTCCTTACAATGGATGAAATTATACATTAATTCACTTAGAGAAAAAAATAGATGCTTCACAGACAACTCTTCAACTGCATTATGATACAGCCCCAGCTGTATTAGGATGCCAGTGGCAAAAGTCCCTTTGCCCATCAGCACAGGAGAAGAAATGCAGTGATCTCTCAGCATCCAGTCCTTCAGGCATGGATTGTTCTGCTTACTGTTCAAGTCTGGACTAATGTATGAAACAAGTATTCAGTGATTTATGTGCTTTATTTGTGGTATTCCCTTATTCCCTATGTATGGGCAATATCACCCAAAATTTCTTATGAAGTTAGGAAGTGATTAAAACAGAAGCTGGCAATATTATGGCACTACAAAGCTGAATTCCATTTTTGTGCTGAACTGAAGGAAAAAATCTCAACCAGCACTTAACTGTTTGTTAATTAGTGGTTTATTTTGAAAGTTATAAACTGCTATTGTGCAACAGAAATATTCCATAAAATGTTCTATTAAACATTCCATAAAAACACTAAAATTCTTGCCTTTGTCAAAAGGAAAAAAAAAATCTTAAATTTTGCTCCTTTAGAATTTGAGCAGACCAGATCCACAGCCTTTCCTCACTTCCTCACGTGAGGAACCCTGTCACAGACCATCAGGGTGGCCAACAGGACCTGTCTTTCCCAAGCCCATGCTGCGAAAGAGGCTTGTCCCGTACGAGCGGCATGGTGGCACTTGAGATGATCCATGGGGAAGCTGCTGCCTTCTCCAGGACTACGAAGCTGCCTGTTCTGCCTTCATGCACTGCAAAGAATATCTCAGTGCAGCTCTGCTCCTCAGAGGGGCTGCTCACCAGGAACTTGCAGGAGCAGGAGCAGGACAGTGGCGTCAGACGCCAGCGCGGCCACTGAGGCAACCGCAGCCAGGCTGCACACAGCAGGTTTTGCACCCAGGAGGAGATTTGCTCCATGTTTAAATAGAAGTCTGTGCAGAGGGTTTCTAGGACCAGTGATTTGTGACCTCGCAGCAGCTCCTTGCCCCGGCGATGGACAAAACACAAGGAATATCCCATCTCAGGCTCCATGGAGCACGTGCACTCCAGCACCACACGGATGTCAGAGCACCTTTCCGGATGCTGCCTCATAGTACCGTGCTCCAGGATGAAAGAGTGACCAGGCGGTGGCCGCAGGAACACGAGCAGCTGGTAGAAGGTTCTATTCTTGAAGATACTCCAGGATTCGTGGCTGCCATCCATTCCTCTGTCTGGGTAAATCTGTGGCATGAAAGTCCTCCTGGAAAACTCTCGGCTGATATACAGGAGGTCATACACCAGCTGCTTCAGATTCCTGCATGGGTCAGGCAGCTCCTGCACTGGTAATGGAGTGGATTCAGCCAAAAGCCTGGCACCACTGCATGTTCTGTTGAGGTTTTGTTTCCCCTTTTTATCATCTTTGCTGCTGGAGGCAAGCTTCTTTTGCCAGGCCAGCCAGCCAACCTCTGCCAGCATGGCCACTGCAGTGGCCCAAAACATCCAGTTCTTAAACACATAATGGACAAGAGCTCCTTGCAGGGATCTCATCTGCTCAACCTCCTGCCACAGCCGTGTCATCTCCTGATGAAGGAACTCCTTGCGCTGCTGCATCTCTTGTGCCATGGCCACGTCGGCCTGCGGGTCGTGCATCAGCCTGGGCAGCGCAGCCAGCGCGGCCACCAGGAACACAACTGCCACAGCCATGGCCTGTGACAGCTCAGAGAAAGGAGCCAGCAGGGAGAGGGACCATGAAACAGGGACAGCAGGACACGGGCTGCCTGGTGTTGGCTCCCACAGGGACCTGTTCTCTGTGATGTCACAGCCACAAGAGCCACATCACGAGGTTGACAAGCCCCAGATTCCATCCCCCCCCCCTGCTCAGTGAGTTCTGGGCATCACAACACTGAATGCCAAGAGAGCAACAGGAGCTCACAGGGTTTGTCCCTTGGAAAAGCAGACAAACCCCTAGTGCCACCACAGAGAGCCCTGAGCCCCTCTGACCCAGCCCAAGTGCTTGGCCGAGATGGGATTAGATCCCTTGCTTTGGCTCAGAAACCCCCTTCTCAGGGTTCTGTGGTCAAGATGACCCATAGATGGTAAAAAGTCTTTTTCTCCCAGTGCCACAGCCAAAGATGAAGTCCAGATGTATCGGTTTTGCTTCTCATGATTGTATATTTTCTCTTATCTATAACATTCTGTCTCTGACCTGCTAAACTCTGTCTAGCAAGTCGGATCGTGGCATTCTGACCACCCTCTAGGGTGGTGTTTACATTTTATGCTATGAACTATGTGTACTTTATTTATGATTAATTCCCAATACCTATCTCCTATGTTACACAGTGTGTCTCTAACTCAAAACCAATAAAAGGTGTCACCATCACAGTGAAAGATGGAGGACAAGAAGAAGGAGAAGGACAAGACATACCCAAATTCTTCCATCTTGCCTCCTGAACCCCATTCTAAAAACCCCCAAAATTCTACACTTTTTAACTCAAACTCTTGCTACCTGTAAATCTTCACACAACGTTGACAGTTTTTCCCATGGGCTAAAATCAAAGCCACTGGTGTTTTTGGCTTTGTGCCAAGGTCTCTGAGCCCCCTACCAAGGTCTCAAGACAGCCACGGCAGCCAGAGGGATGTTCTGGGTCCCCACGCCCCCCTAGGCATTTGCCCAACCTTCATCCTGCCCAGCACAATGCTGGAACAGAGGAAAGGACTGAAAAAATCAGATAAAAAAGGTTCCACTGACTGACAGAATCAGAAGGGAGCCTTGAGATCATGCTAAACTTTGATTAAGTTGAGCCTGGGCTTATGTAGGATAAAATTTAGTGTGTGTTTCTGCAAAATCTAATAAATATCGACAACCAGCAGAGACACTGACTTGCCTGTTATCTTTATTAAGATAAGGCCAAGTTTCCTAGAACAAGGAAAGATTTTGTGCAAGATAAGACAATTTATTAGTGATACTGTGGGGTGTGGATGATATGTCCAGCTCTGCCTTGAGTTCCAAGACTGAAGTTTAGCTGACACCTGAAGAGGTCAGTGACAGACCCTGACTGTCCTGAGGGGACAGAGCAGGCCCACACAAGGTCTTTGGTGAATCTGAATTGCTCTGGCCAGATGTACAATAGAGCTTACAGACAAATGTCAGGGGTTTTCTGCGGTCCCACAGAGATGGGATTAGTAGAAATTTTTATTTTTGCTGATTGTTTTAAGTCAGAAAGAAGTAGCTGACACAGAGAGACATGTGCGGGTGACTGTGAATGCATCAGACTGGAGATAACAACATTCACAGTATGTAGAGACATCACAGCTCAGGGACAGAGGATGGGACTTGAGTAAAACCAGTCCTGTGATTTACAGCTGAAAGATCCCCTGCAGATACAAAATCTGGGGGTGGGAGCTGGGCTCTGCTCCCTGACAATCAGTGATAGGATGACAGGACAGAACATTAAGCTGCAGCAGGGGAGGTTTAGGTTGGACATCAGAAGGATTTCTTCACATTGGGATGGCCTATCCAGGGAGCTGGTGGAGTCACCAGTTGTGGAGAGCTTTAAGAACAGATTGGATGTGGCGTTCAGTGCCATGGTGGTGTTAGGTGACCACCAGATCACCTAACATGATATCACCTAATGATCACCTAATGATTTCAGAGGTCTTTTCCAGCCTGATTGCTTCTGTGACTCTGAGGGGATGTTTGGAGTTACAGCACTTGCATTAAGTGGAGGCTTAGGGCATTCCCTGTCCAATTTCCCCCACTGAAGGATGTCTGAGGGCTGTTTCAATGCTTAGCCCCTTAGACACAAAAACCTTACTATAATGATTTTTCTAGCAGGTGGTGTTATGTGTCCTGTAGCTCTCTCAGACTTGGCACCATGGAAAATCCCCCCCTTTCATTCTTATTTTAATGCTTAATGCAGTTAAGTCTTTTCCCCCAATAGACTCAACAAAGTTCAAAACTCATTCCCTTTCTTATTTCTATTTGGTAGAGATATATACAAATATATTAGTATTCATGAAATTGAATTTTATCTATTCTTAATCCACCCCCCTGTCTCTCCTCTTTCCTCTCTGTATTCATATTTATTGCATTAACTTTATCAGTCAAACCTGAATTTTATTGTATCACCAAAGGAAGACTCTATTTCATCAGCAGAGAAATGCACCAATCCTTCTGAGGATTTTTCCCCATTAAGAAAAAACATTTCCCTGGTAAATGCTTCCTTTTGGAGTGTTTCCAACAAAGGTGTTTCCACAGGCCTGATTTTCAGCTGCTGAGCACACGGTGTCAACATCAGTATTGATATTTACTGGGATATTTTATAGCTTCTGCAGGAAGGGATTTGGATGTATCTGCTTAAAAAGATGTAATTTAACATATTTTTCTAAAATGACTTCATAGAACTGTATTCATCCTTCTAGACTTGATATTAAGGTAACTGGCCAGTGGATCAAACTCATGAGATAATTTTATGAAAAATATAAACATGAAGAAGCAATTTAGCTGACAGAAAATATGTATAAGCAAGTGTAATGGTAGGTAACAGGAAACACCCTCTGATCTGCCTGAAGCCTTCACTGATTCTGTTGCCAAACTCCTTCTTTCCATTTTAAAGCAATATAAATTTGAATTAGGGATGAAGTAACATCTGATTAGGTGGTGTGAAAGTACGCATTGACCTAACTTTGGAACTTTACCCACAGAATGTGGGAGTCATGTCCCAGAGTTAGGCATCCCAATGTGACAATAAATGAAGCCCTCCTGATTTTCATAAAGTCCAGACCTAGACTGAAAGTTGCAATTTTTGCAATTTCTTTTACCTTTAGCTTTATTTCACTCATGCTTTATAATTTTGAGACTGCTCTATTTTTGATTGGAAACATATTTTCTCAAATACACAAGCACTGTTGGTGGAAAATAAGATGAAGGCTAACCCTCAGTTCATTCATAAAGAAGAATCAGAAAACATAAAGATACATTGCAAAGCCTGGGGAGTGTATCCTCTAAGAGAGATAAAAGGAGAAATCCCTAAAGGGTATAAAAGAATGAATAAAACTAGAATGTTTCTGTCTCTTCCACAACATGATATAAGGGTGATTTCTTCAGGCTCTCCCTCCTATCTCCTTCAGAACAGGACATCTTGTTTGCTTGCTTCAGTCCTTTTGGGGTAACTCTGCTCTTCTGGTGAATTTTGCCTTATATATACCTGGTTGTACAAAACCCTGTCAAGACTTTTTCTCATGTTCCACTCCCCCCTTCAGCTTGACATAAGGATTCACCTGTACGATTTCTTCATAAAGGCTTTTATTTAAGGGAACAGCTCCTACCCCACTGCACTTTTTTCAAACAGCAGCTGTGCAAGGCTGGCCTCATAATTTTATTTAGTTATCTTTGTTTTGATGTGAAACATTAACTTAAATAACTCTGTTGGATTTTTTTTTTCTTTTTTTTTGTGCATCCCCAGGCAACTAAATGCAAAAAAAAGCCCTCCAGCATTTAGCACTACCTCCACTTCTTCCCCTTTCCTGGATTCTAAATTCAGACTTTTCCATTTTAATCTGCCTCAGGATATTTAATTACTGTATTTGTTCGCGTCTGGGCCATAACTTTTTCTAAGGTATTTCATAACATATATGCTAATGAAATGTGCCAAACCAATGTTTGTTCTTTGAATGGTGGATGACTAGGATACATGAAAAAAATTTCCTGATAGAAACTATCTTCATGGAATTTGAAGATTTAAACCCAATCTGTTTTTTTAAGGTATTCTTAGATAGAACTTTAATCTATCTATCTATCTATCTATCTATCTATCTATCTATCTATCTATCTATCTATCTATCCACACACAAATGCAAACATTTAAATTTCTGTGACATCTCTTCCCTTCATATTTCTCTTCTCTGATAAAAAAATAAATTATTATTTTGCTGCTGGTGCCAGTACTTGAGAAGGTTTTTTTTTCTCCTTCCTAAGAGAAGTTGATTTGGTTTTAAATCTCATATTACATTCATGTCTGGAGTTGAACATAATTTCTAAAGATTCTCCAAGAAGTCTTTGTCCAAACAAAACAAAAAATCAGTTTATGTAATTCTGGACAACATATTCTGACATAGACACAGAAAGGAAGGAAGACTTCACTAGTAAATAACATTTTTGCTCAATCTCTACCTTACAGGTTGTGAACAGCAACCCTCACAGCATTGATCAGCATACTTTGAATTAATTTTCTTTTAGAGGAAAACTTATGCTGTCTGTGATCATGAAGAAATGGAAGAAAACAAGGCCCATCGTGGATGCAGGGGAAAGGGAAACCCCTTTATTTCCCCTTGGAACAGTACAGAAATTATTTGGAAAAATATTGCATCCTGAAGTTTGAAGGGAACTCTATTCCTATCAGTAATAGAGTCTTAAAAAGTTTGCATTCTTTCCTGCTTTCTGCTCACTGATATAGAGAACCATTGCTTTTCTCTTTCTCTGCATGTACAATTGTTTCCAGACTATGTTTCTTTCTACTTCCAGCTTTCCAGAGGATTTAAATTAGGTCTGAAAACTTTTTACACTTGTGCAGTTTGGCTCCCCCTGCTCTCTCCAGACTCTGCTTTCCCCACCACAGACACACAGTAATTGCATAACATTGATGTTATTCTGCTGTTTTTCAATTCTAATTCTGTGCTGCCATACTTCAAAATATCAATTTGTTTCTCAACAT